CTGTTCCTGTTGCTTTGCTCAACAAGATCCCTATAGCAAGATTTTGCTCTCTATGTTACTTCCCCCGTTCCTTTGATAATAATTTAAACAGGGTAAATAGATTGATTAAGTGGTAGAACCCATGGGGATCGATGGTCAACAAAAAGATTGTTACCGAACTTCATATTTTCGCAATAGGGATTCTTATCGCCCTTCAGAAACGGCTCCAGTGCATCCTCTATGCGTCCTGCCCACCTTTCAGAATTGACCAGCCAGGACTTAAGGATTTCTGGTATACAGCATTTATAACTGCTTAGATAAACCCGTGAGCTTCACCAGTGAAAATGGTCTATAAGATACTAGACTCCTGTTTACGGCCGCTCCTGATCCAGTGACGATGACAGATCCCTAACCAAACATGCATGAAAAGCTAAGGTGCTCTTTTTTCAAGAAAAATCTGTCCACTGTTCTAGAATCAAGAAGCTGAAACGGATTGTTGAGTGCTTGTTCGAAAGTTTTAAGTTGCGACATAAGTCACCTCATTTACACTTTCGTTAGGAAACATCTTAATGATCAAGTGGTAGATTATAAGAATTGAGATTGTACCTTTGAGACGGATCTCAGCTTCGATCCAAAGTTCCACGCTACTTTAGAAAAATATTTTGGAGTTTCCGACTTTGCAGTAAGACACTCACCCCCAATTCTTCGAAAATAACGATAACAGCAACTGGATCAACGTCAGCGGCAACAGAACCGAATAAAAGGAGATGAATGAGCGGAGTTTCTACGGAAAACAGACCCGTAAGAGAGATGGCCCACAATGATAGAGCTAAATTGGAGTAAATTAATTAAAAAAAATGAAGGATAGCCGGCTGCTCCTGTCCTCTGAATGATTATGATACGCATTATTAAAAAATTACAGGATCATTATGTTGGAATGAAGTTCAGTTATTCTGTCAGGTCTAATCTCATATTCTGCCCAATTTCAAGATATTCAAGACTCATTTTTTTTATTTTTTGGAGTTTTATATTTATTATTTTGATTCTTTTTTATCTCTCAGATTGTTATTCTCTCTATTGTTTGAGTTTTCAATACATGTGATCTATCGTGAACGGTGCAGCCTCATGAGGGCCGCTAAAATACTGTACAACCCCTTCTGTGATGTCATTTAATGGTAACAATATTCGAGCCCATATTGCACCCTACCTACGCCCATGGCACGCCTCATATGGCATGCTTAGGGGCCACGGATTCGTCCCAAGGGGGAGCTTTCGATACAGCACAACAACACTTTTCAGCTGATTGTAATTCTCCATAAGAGTACTTCGTACACAGCATTATATTCTTCCATCAAGTGCACATGCGTATTTCTCAAGTCACGAAGTGTTCTTTTGTTATGCATTAGCACTTTTTCACCAAATACTTCGCACTTCAATTCTGGCGTGATTCTGCTCCTCGAAAGCCGGTAGTAAGGACCTACCTAAGGAAAAGTGAGTTCAATGGCATGCTCCTCTGATCACCGAGCATGTTTACGAATTTTCCCTGAGAGTTTGACACCTAGAGGGTAGAAAGGAATTACTGAATGGAATTGAGCTTTAGTTCACGAACCGATAGCTACAATATTGAAGGTAGTTCCGATCATCGCAAAGCAGAGAATCGAGCCGAGATTGTCGAAGAACTGCCGTGCCGGCATGAAATAACCTGAAAACCTTTTCATCTTCGAAGTAGTCTTAACAGCTGCAAGTCACTAGACATTTTCCATGTACGGCTTTCTATGAACCTCGGCATAATTGCACTACTGAATTTATTGTTTTCCTTAAACTCTTCATGAAGTTTGTAAATATGTCTTATTGGGCTGACGTTTCGGCGGAACCGCTTTCTCCAGAGCCTGAAAGGATCATAACAATCTGTGACTATCCGATCAACGTCTCCACCAACCCACTAAAGTTGAGACCCCCAGGGCATCACCCAAGCATATTTACAAACCTAGCGAAGAGTTCAAGAAAACAATAAACTCAATAGTAGACGTCCGTCAAGAGATAAAAAGCTCCAAAAACCGTAGAGTGGCAGTGGCTTCCGAATACATGCACTATCATGAGGTAAAAAGCGGGGAGGTCCGTGCCTATGTATATCATTGAATCGGTCCTCTTGGACAAGTTCTATTGCTGTTTTCCTGTAGAGAGGTTCACACAGTGTGAAAGTCTTTCCTTTTTTTGTAAGCCATTCTTCTGAAGCCTGACAACGCCTATAGGGAAGAAGTGGAGCAGCAACCCATCAAGAAAATCGTTCAAAAACCTTCCGTTCGAGTAAAAATTTAAAGCAAAACTGAAGCATTTACATTATCAGGTTTTGCTTAGCACGTCGATTTGTTATGGTAGAAGAGGAGCAAGGGGGCTTTGAGATAAGCGCTTTAAGAGAACGCTCCAAAGACAATTTTGTGCCACATTACAGCCACACCACACTTTCTATTTATCGCGCGCATCTTCACGTGAGGTGCTTTAATGCTGTTGAATTATTCCTGCTTTATGAAATCAGCCTTCCACAAATCCCTCTTATCCTAAGAATTTCCACCGCTCTTATCTCATGAAGCATCCCATGATATCGTTCAGACAAGGGAGAGCTCCACCTAGACAAGTCTTAATGATTCGCTAAGCTAAATTCGATAGGAATTTCACAAATCATAGAGGAACACCAACCTGCATCGAATACTAAAGGCGGAAGAAGGAACAGCATGAATACTTCACTACCGAGGAAGAATTCATTCTGGAATGAGATTATTCAGATCACATTATCCTCGGAAGATTTGCCCACAAAAAAATCTTCAAAGACCAAAAGTGTTAATGAGAAAAAAGATTTCAGACTTCAGAAACTGTTAGGCTATTCCAAAAATGAACACTGCTATGCCATGTCACGAATCTATGACGAATACGGATTTCTTGAATCAAAGCTGCATGTTTTGCAGCGTAACTTCTGCAAATCTTCGCGTGGAAGTCCACAAAAATACCTATCAAGGACATGTTGAACTGCTTGTTTGTACATTTTTGTTTGAGCCTCCCCTAGAACAGACTCATGAGATGCACTGCATCTTTAAAGCAGCCATCCTTCTGCGCGCATCTCTCAGAAACCTGACGATCTGAGGCTTATGGGAAAGCTAGTGGGAAGCTGCCTCACCTTTCGTCTCCTCTCCTGCTCTACGCAGAACACGGGCTCGTTCCGAAAGATCCGAGCGGCACGTCGCTCGCTCAGGGAGATCAAGGGAAAGGTGGACGAGTAATGATGAAGTATTGGGTGAGTGATGGTGAGCAAAGGGTCTCATGTCTTTCATGGCCCAACCGAACTGTTGTATTCAACCCAAAAAAACTTCCACACAAAATATGGCAAAAACCAAGCGAAAGCAGAGCAAACGTAAAGTCAGTGGGTAATGGTTTGGTTTTCCGNAAAAAGAAGAGAATGATGGGTCACCATATTGGAAACAGATAGGTCACTCGCGTCATGCTAAAGCTCAGGCGAGATGCCGGAAGTGAGGGGTATGTACCCCATTGCCTGGTTAAAAACATGCAAGGAGAGACAACTCTTGGTAGTGCTAAGATTACGCGCGAGATCTCGTGAAGCAGCCAATCTTCAGGATTCAGTTGGTTTGCTGTGTCTATCTGTCTTCGTCGAAGATTGTGCGGACAGACAGACGGGCAGAGATCAGCGTTGTCAAAGTGGCTAGAAGTAGAAAACCTTTCATTTGGGCTATTAAAAGGTCGTAGTTGAAAGCTTACAGAAAGTTATGGTAAAAAGTAAAGATTCACAGGGATATCATGGGAAGAAATTGATTATGCTTTTCTGTTTGCAAAAGAACCGATCAATTTGGAATGAGAGCTCCCACTGAGTCCCGCAAAACCCAAGATCGTTCCCATCCTCAGACGAATTTATGCAAGTTGAAGGCACATCCAAAATTCAACGGTTTCTTCGAAAAACTGTGCTCCACTGCCACTGATGTTCGTTACAACCTCCGTGTCTGAGTAAATTTGTTCTAAGAGAGGGAAAAGGTGATCGCAACAATAATGAAGGTCACTTTATCGTGTATTCGGTGAACTGGCCCCTTCTAGTGTTTCCCTAAATCTAGTATCTATTGTTATTATAACAAGGAAGCTATCGAAATAGCGCGTTCAAATGGAATACCTATCAGTATTACCATACAGTTCCTCAGATCAGACTTATTAGCTAATTGTGAGTAAAGAACGGTTAAGCCCTTCGAAGAGGTGCGGTGTCATTTTCCATTTCATCTCACCAGAAAAGACCACGTTCTATCATTTAACTTACGGAGTTACGAATTTCTCCGCGCAATTTGCCTCGCGCGTCCTCGGACGCACGTTCGTCCACATACCCACAAATCAGTGCTTTTAACCTCCCTTACGAGTCTTGTACAAATTCACCGACCCCAGAGGGATGGAAGGCTTGGTTAGCCTAGGCAACTGTCGAGCCGAAATTCAAACCCGTGACCATGCATGTGCGAAATGCGCCACTTGCCACTACACCACGAACAAACCTCCTTATAACGATTTCCGTCATTGGATCCATTACCCTACTGAAGAGAATGCATTGCCTCAGTAGTGATACTTTGGGACTTGATCAAAACACGACAACTTATGTAGAAAGAGCAAAAAAAAAGAATGACTTGCTCATTTTCTCTCAGTTATTTGCCAACAGAACTAATATTTGGTACACAATATCAGAAATCATTCCATACCTTAGCGACCCCGAGTAAGTTGAAGATGATTCCTATGATGAGCCCAATCATGATGAGTAGAGCCGAGTCAGGAAACATTTCTGTTAGATGCGGAATAGCATGGAAAACTGCAATTTTGCTATGAAATCGTATTAAGTGCCTGATTGGCTCAAAATGAAATGTGTTCTGATGAGGGAGGTATAAAAGCCTACTTATTTTGGCTATGCTGGCTCCTACTAGCCACAGTGATACCGTCAAAGGAACTTTGACTTCGCTCCATTTGAATAGTGCTATAGGATATCGAGTCAGAGGTTCTTCTTCTTCCTCATTCTGAAAAGATAGCAAGAAAAGAAGACGAAAATTTTTCGAAAGCGAAGCCCCTTTTGAAATTATAGTGACAACAAAAACCGGGCAACATTAGGTTTAGCTCAAGATACAAGTATTGAGTTTGAAGCAAAATGTTCTGCATAGATATAGCCACTCCTTTTGCGTTAGCATTTCTTCAGTGGCCCGTAAATTATTGAAAAAAGTTGCTTCCACGAATTTTTCGATGTATGGATAAGTTTACTTACGTCGCAGTCACCAGCGGCTGTGATTGCCAGTGATAAGGTTATAAGCAGTATCCATTGCCATGCACACTTCATGTCTCTGTGGTCTAACTCTGAATTGATTACCATAGTACATGATCAAACGAGCATTGGTACTAAGGTGTACGCGCAAAATAAAACAAAAACACATTAATGGAAGCTGAGGTCTGAACGTCGTTTGGTCAGGATGAGTCCCAAATAGTTTTTAGCTTCCAGGCTCTGACGAAGGCGACTGGCCGAAACGTTAGCCGTATAAAAACATTGTATCATCTTGGTCGTGGCTTCAGAGAGACCTCTAAATAATGGAAGTCCTTGTAAAAGCCGCTATCGACAGTCTTCATTTTCAGCTAAGAGTGGTTACAGTTTACGAATGTTAGCAACTCAGCCAAATTCGCTCTTTAAAAGCCATTTAGCACGACCCTCAGGAAGCTTCCTTGGCAGACAGCGCTCAGAGCAAGTTTTGGTCTATTAGATATGTCTTTGATTCCGATTCACTATGAACAGGCAACGTATTCCATTTTAGGCGAAGTATCACCTTAGAAGGCAAGAACTCATATTCAGTCGAGTGTTTAGTGGAGCGGATGCTACTCAACTTGAGTGGTACGCTGAGGTGATGCAAAAAAACACTCTTTGAATAATCTCCAACCTTCCTTTCGCTCACCCTCTTTGGATAGCGTACTTAACAGGAATAAAGGAGATAGAGTGATCAATCGTCTAAACAAAGTAGTAGGTGGCATTCTTATTCCGAGTTCAGCTAATAACGATAAGATGATTATTGTTGACGTAATGTTGGCTTGCAGTTTCTGCAGTCCTTTGCAGGCTTCTTTTCGAAAAAAAAATTCAGACAAGAGATGATATTTCTGCGATTTTTGAGCATTTTAATTTACAAACCCCATTTTTGGGGTGCGACCCTGACGAGTCACAATCAACCGACCTCAAATGGATTGAAAACTTGATTAACTGGCGGACTTCGAACCGCCGACTATTGGTGTGGTAGTTCTCCTTTTGTTAGTGAACCATCTACACTCCTTCAAAGTATTTGGGTAATAGAACATTAATACACGATCACGCTTGTCTTTCTCTCTCTATTCTATGCCCTCCTGTTCCTAAACACAATAGTCTCTTCAGACCTTTTTAATGTGCTCGCGCATTTGCCCACCTCCAGGTGTAAAGTCACGTCAAAATACTATGCGATCATTCTGAGTTTATAGTAACGAAAGATTTTCATTTCAAACTAACCTCATGAAAAGAATTGTTACCGAAACTCTACTAGTTCAGTTTTCAACAGGGCTGTCCTCATTCCGATCACCGATTTGTGGAAACAGGCAAACACATAGGCAAGTGGTAGAGATTTTCAAAGGCTTGTTTTGCGGAAAATTTAGGCAATAAAATCAAAAATACATAGTCACATTACGTACATCACATTTTTATACATAATCATTATTCTCCTCTACACCCGGCTGGTGCATTACATGCAGCAGCCTTTTCAGCCAAACTAACCACGCTAGTAATTTGGGCGATGGGTTCGAACTTCTGCAAAAGAAGACCCCTGGTCTCTCAGATATAGATTGGGGTCAAGGATAGCAAGGGTATTTTAACTTGCATGCTTTCACCATAGCGTAACCGTTTGATGAAAAGCGTCTGATACCGACAGGGAAAATATGATGCACACCTGACAATAGCCTGTGGAAAATGAGAAATTTTTGGCACAAGAATCAACTACTATAACTCGATTTTCTTGTAGCATTCGTTTCCTACCGTGATACCAACCTCCACGTAAGGCCAACCAAAAACAAATTTATGGAGATGAAGTTGCTGACTGGAACAAGTACCTCTAAAAAGTCTCAATTCGTTGTCGTCATTGAAGTATGGTGATTTGCGTCAAATTATTTTCATCTAACACTGACCCTAGGACCTCCTTGGTTTTCTACTGACAGGTTGAGAGAATAGTATTTATTTTCCCAGTTATTTCGGGAGGCTCCTGAAGAAGTACTACTGGAGAGCCCCACTCGCTTGCGTGCATAACAAGAAGATTCATGGCAATTTCTGTTTCAGGCTATGAAGCGTTCGGACGAATTGTCAGAAAACCAATAAGAAGGGACTTCAAAGTCAAATGCATAACACATATTTCAGTTTGATCCAGCAGCGGAAAAGCCGGACTCGAACTTACAAACATGCACGTCTTGAACGTGACTAAGCAATTCGACAGTCATTATATATAACAGTTTGCAAGAAAGAGGTAGAAGGATATATTAGGAGCATAAGCGTCGATAGTGTTTTTACGTAGAAACCTCATGGTAGCTGCCTGCAAATCCTGAGAGAAATCTGAACTACTGCGTAAATTTTGGGAAATACATACTTCTTGTTCACTCAGCTGTAACACTGTAGCTTCCTGAGTAGCACAAAATTGCAAAACTCTACCTCTTTTTTGGAATATACACCACAAAAGATAGTAATGGAAGATTCAAGAAGTTAAAAACTCATCCTAGGTCTTAGGAAAAGAGAGACTCACCAGTTCAGTTACACGGGGATCGCCATGTTTCTGCGGCAATACGGGCTTAAAGACACAGTTCACGATAAAAATAGTTTCTGAGATTCCCCCCATAGGATGAATTTGAGGGCCCCGCGTATAACATATCTGGCACTATTAGATCGGAAATGGCCTAGTTAGGGAGTTGTAAAGGCTCAAAGATTGACCCGTGTGTATCCTCGGACGAGTTTCACCGGCATTATAGAGGCTGCACCGATCGCAAGGGAACCCGTGTAGGAAGTTCAAACAACTTGTCATGACCCATAGCGACAATGAACGACAGTTCTGTTCAGTTCTGGCTCGATGTAGTCAATTCTTTCTGCAATTTCAGTAACTGAAATCTTAAACGAATACCCCTTCCATGTATTTCCGCCATGGCAATCTCGTCCAAACTGTATTTTTCCTACTTTTGGGGAGCCATAATTTTCTCGAAATTGGTGAACTTTCTCGCTTTCTTCACTACCAATGAACTATTCCCAATCTATACTTCCGCTTTTCGAATGAAAACGGGGTACCTCAAAATTATCGTGAACTGTGCCTTTAATGGCTCAAGAACCTTACACTCTACACCTGATTCTACCTCTATCGATTTTCTTTCTTGCATGTACACCCTTCAACCAATCAGCTTCTCCGAGTGTCCTATCACTTTAACGGATATTGTTTGTTTTCATAAAAAGAAGCATTTGATTTAAATTTATGATTTGACTTTTGTAAACCTCGGATAAGCCGTTAGCACTTAAGCATATATACAAACATCACATCGTGTGAAATTAAGTCAAATAATATAAGTTATTAACAGTGTGGATCAGCGTTGACCTTGTGGGTTTGGGCGCCATCCTCGACAAGCATGCAACAACATTATCAACGCTTTTCATGAAGCAGTCTATCACTGGATGATGATAAGCAACAAATCCGGCAATCATTCAACACATTGCAAACTCTTCAGACAGGGCTGGTGATAGTGGTTGGACACAACCACGGATTAGAATGTTTCATGTAAGAAAGAGATTAAAACGCTGAAGCCTTGTCTGTAATGCGGCTAAAACATACCAAAAGTTTGTGATTATCTCCGTGTGCTCTGGAAAGTTCTTGATTTCACAGATATGGTTATAGGAGTCCAAAGTTTTCTATCGAAATATACCTTCAGTCGTTAGTATTTGTAATGGATGAGGTTTTCGCTCCTCCGTGATGTGGTTGTACAAAGAGTGTTTTAGAGGAAATGAATGAATACAATTTTGAGCGTAGAATAGTAAACTGCAGGTACGTTATTCCTAACAATGGACACCATCTCAAGACTTTACGCTTGGGAGATTGCAGCGAAAAATGTTTAATGGCTCAACTGGGTTTTTGACTCGTGTATGGTGTTATCAATGAACTACGAAAAATCAGCTCTCGCTTTTGGTTCCTGATTTATCAGGAGACAACAATTATGTAGAAAGTGAGCTAATAAAATGTTAGGGAGCAGTTCGATTACAGATTTAGAGATTTTCAACTTTGGACGCCTTGATGGATTGATTGCGCATGATTGATAGAATTTTTGGCGAACAAAAATGCTCAGATAGTTGCTTCAGCAACACTGCACACTTCTGCCTTACCCAAAGTATCCACCGAGAAATAAGCAGAGAGCGCATTCCTCATCTTTGAGGTCAAAGAAACCGCCGGTCCTAGTTTAGCCAAATAAACCTTAAATTACGTCTGGCGCTTGATAGTGATGCAAATATTGGACTTTTTAGGCTTTCAAATAATGTGTGTAACTTGTACTTTTCTGAGTTCTTCAAACATATATTTTGAAAGGTGCATATTCTCAAAGCAACTCAAATTCACTGAACAATTAGCTTACGATTAGTATGTTAGCATAGCATATCCACAGTTCAGGTAGAAGAGTGTTTTTGTTCACTCCGATTTAAAAAAAAAGAATTGAGCCAACCAGAGATTCTATATATTGTATATGGAACGAACCATTCTATGCGAGATCACTGCACACTAATGATTTTTAACTTTGAAAAACCCATCTCAGAGTACAAAAGTGCAAATCAGTTGCAAGAAGAAGTTGCAAGAGTCTCTGCCTGCGCTTTCAAAAAGTCTTTCTCTGTCTATGATGACTAGTGAAAAAAGCAGACGGAAAACCCTGATGAACCTGCTACTCGCCATTCAAATCTAATGGAATAATAGCCATAGAATTCATTTTTCAAATCTTGAAGAAATGGGATGAACATCGCATAAGCCTCTGTATCTTCAATCCGTCATAAGGAAGAAAAGAAGAATGAGAATAAACAGACATTGAGTTTTTACGGAATCTAGAGGGCGCTGTCAATAAAACATCTTNACGTAATAGGAGATAAAGAACATTGAAAAAGGTTGATAAGACCGCTGATCCTGTTAAGTGTCAATTGACTAAGCCACACGTAACATTCGCAGCGGGAGCTTCTTTCACGTAAGGACGCTCCATTTCTGATAAGAAGTTGAGAGAGGCAAAAGTCTAACTTATCAGTGCTCGCCGACATGCCCTAAGCAACGTGGTGACGCAGATTGCAAGACGTAGTAGTGGCCATAAAACTTCTTTGTGGGTTCTATGTTGTATAGATCGTAACAGAAGAGTAGAGACTGAATTGAGGAATATAGATCGTGAAATTTTGTTGGGAAGAACGTCGAATAGGTCTCAGTGTTCTTCTCAACAAAATTTCATGGGCTTAAAGCTGTGTTTCAGTCCGTTTACGATTACTTCCAGGCACCTGAGTATTGGCGCAATTATCTATGGTGATCATTTCTATAAAAACAGGTAGCTTTCGTAGAATTGAAGTGATCGTATATTCCAATCAACTTCACAACACAGCATTCTTACCTTGCGGTCTCGATTGGCGTAATGTTTAATAAAAAAAACTGAATCTGCAAATTTTCTAGTGAATAAATGAATAAATGAAAGTAAATAATTCAATTATTCTCTGCCGCTGTTGATATTGGTCTGCTGTGTGAAGCTGAAGCATAGCTATAGTCAACTCAGAAAGCTCCCCTCGATCAATTTGTAGTAAATAGCAACGTGTCCCAGAACCAGCTAGATCCGATTGAAGTTTTTTCCTTAAACTCATGTGTCTAAGATGAAAATTCTACCGCCAGAATACAGGATTCTCTTAGTGTCCATTAGTGGAGCGTTGCAGTACATAATTAAGTATCGTTTTAGGAAGTGGTGGCAGACCATGCCTCATTACGTCCACCAGTATTCCCTTTGAATACATGACCTTGTTATTTTTTACGTCGGCACCGTCGGAACCGCCGACATGCTTGCCCGTGAATCCTCAGTTAACATAATTCTATTGTTTTCAAACAACTTTTGATGTTTCTAGCCGGAAGGAGATCATTTTCTTTGTTGAAGATTGGTTTTGCGGTAAAGATGTTCTTGTGAGAGAAAACGCGTAGGAGACGCAAGTTTCCCTCAAGTGAACCAACGTTTTTTGACCCTACACTGCCTGTTGAGATTGCGAATGAAGTGGATTCGCAATGAAGCTTCTGAATGAAAATCCGACCCGTCAACAACTTCGACTATTCCTGCTCCGTTGCCTTCCTTTCAATGGGTTACCTTTGATAGACAACGATCGACACGCTCTATTTTATTCTCACTATAATTTTAATATTTCTGAAAGCGCTGACCTTTCTCCCTCTTCCAACTGAGTCTTTGACTGACTTTGCTTCTTTGTATCGTTTGATGGCCTGCTATACCATCGCTATTGGCATATCCATAAAATTTGCTGAGCCCGTCATCCTCTTGCATGCGAATGATCGCAAGAGGACTCAAATGAAGTTTTTGGGCCAATCTCCTTGTCTGCGCCTAGCGCTCAATGTTCCTATGGAAGTCTCCTTAAAAGTCCTTTGGCCGCACCTGCTTTAGAGCCTAGCGAAATGTGGTATTACGTTGACGGTAGGGTCTTTGATAGTAGTAAAGTGAAGAAGTTGCCTTTCTACCAAAGCTCTCTCGACTACATTATCACCTCCAAGTTTTGTAGAGACATAGCAGGATGCCAGTACAGTTCGAAAACGCAGTTTTGAAGTACTCACATTGCTCCGACGGACTGGCACACCAGGCCATTGCTTTATAATTAAGAGAGATAATGTTATAATGAACATTTCGAGAAGGCGAAGCAAACCATTAGCTATGTCTTTTGATATTAATATGCCTTGCTATTGGCTAACCAATGTTATTTCGCTGCGGTATGCGATCCAAGTGTCACAAGGTCGGTGAGTATATGTAGAAAAAACTTCAGTGTCGGATAAAACCTAAACTCACTCTTGTGCTACACGGTCGCGGTGCTTTATCCCATTACCTATTATATTTAGTGAAGTTTTGAATGTTCCCCTGGCCCCATCAATTTCCTTTGCCGGTATTTTTGTTGCCCTCCCTCATGTAGTTCTACATCGTGCTTGAAGAGATTTTCAATTTACTTGACAGGTATTCTGAGTGCATAAGTCTTTTACTTCGAAAGGTGTCTGGAGGTGATTCAGTGAACGCTTTATTGATGCTTAAACATAGGTACATTGGATGAGTTGCAAGTTGTAACGTATAGAAACTATAGCGACGCGGTCCGCTGATCACTTTTGAGAAGAAGCATCGATTTCCGTTTCATTTTTCAGGAACCTTAATTGGTTGGTTTTCAAAATATCAGTAGAATTTTACAAGCACTCAGTTTCTTCTGTGGGGCCGGAGTTCATCATGTTTTTAGGAGATTCAGTGATATGAAGTAGGTAAGGATTTAAGGTCAAAAGCCATACCTATGAATTCGACAGAACGTTTGTGGAAATGCACCGTTGAGAATCGATTGATGATCCGCCCCGTGCACTATTAAAGGTGTAACAGGCTTCTTGAGCTTTTCGTGTAGTTCAACACCATGTTCTGAAGGAACTACGGTGTCGCGAGCGCCATGACAAATCAACACTGGCACATCGATCTCCGACACCTTGTCCCACCTGTAAGTTATGAAAGCCATGGAATGCAGGTCACGATACTTTTCAAAGACTGATGGAGTAAATTTATCAATTACAGTGTCAGGGCTTAAGACAAAGTTCATCATAAAAATGGTTTTTGTCTCTAGGATGAATCGGTACCCGGATACCATATTTGGAGCTGTCATACAGGAAGACGACCAAAATAAGGCGTTATAGGGGCACAAAGATTGTATGGGCTCTATGCCTATATGGCTCTTGATGTGATTGCAACTAGTGAAATCTCGTCCAGATAT